TAGGGCATTGTTCCGTACTAGTTTTTACTGCCGTTCTCCAAAAAATGAATGATGTAAGCTATGGCCCAGGCAAGCCTTGCTAATAGGGCTTCAAAAGAACAGGAAATGTAACTGTCCCAGGGGAACTGGGGGGGCAGGAGGGCCCCGGACCAAAAGAGAGCCCCACTTACAAGTAGAGCCCAAAGAGCCGGAGGAGAAGCGCGTGGCGAAACCACCGGTGAAAGTAATTAGCCGCGCGTATATCCAGCTGCGACCGAGCAGTGTGGGTGGGAGACGCCGCCCGGGAGACATCAAAAGCGGCTCCGACGATATGGAGGGGCGGCTGATGCGTGGAGGCTGGAGCGAAGAGCCCTCACTCAGAGGGAATCAGGCGGCGCACCCAGCAGCGTGGAAAGCCGGGGGCAGAGCTAGGAGAGGCTCCGAGAGAGTCGGCAGAGACGCCAACAGCAGAGCTGGCAAGGAGGCCGGCGGCATCATCGGTAGCAGAGCCGACAGGGAAGCCGACTGTAACATTAGCAGCAGAGCCGGCAGGGAAGCTGGTTGTAACGCCGGCAGTGGAGTCAGCTGGAGAACCGGCAGTGAAGGTGGGGCAACGCTGATGGGGGAACCAGCAGCTGCACTCGCAGCAGAGCCAGCGGCAGCACCCCGCGGAGGATCTGGAGAAGAGGTAATAGAGGGCCAGGTCCAACAGGGCCTTGTCGGGCCACACCAAGGGGCGGACTAAGACCCGAAGCAGGGCTGGGCAGTGGACCGTCGCGGTCCACAGCGGCCGTGGGAAGAGGCCGGGATTCAACACCCCAGTGGGTGAGCCGCCTGAGCGGTGGAACCCAAGCCCAGGGCGAACCACGCGGCCCAGAGGCCAGAGGAACCCTTGCGGGCCTCCTGGCCCATTAGCTTAGGAACCTCGGTTAGCTCGGTGGTGGGATAGGCACATAATGTCACAGGGTGATTAGTTTAGAACGATAGGGAGCCTTACTGCAAGGACCAGGCCAGAGGTCCACGCAGACCATATACCGGGCCCGAAGACCTGGGCACGCAGCAGGCAAGCCGTGGGCAGAAGTTGGGGAAGAGCTGAAGACACCAAAAGGGGCCTGAAGATCGGCAACCCGAGGTGGCGAGTGGCCGGGGTGTAGGGGAGGTTGGAGCCCCGTGAGTGCCCGTCGGGAGGCGCAATGACCCTGGAGGCTGCTCCAAGGGGGAACCCCTCCACTGAGGTGATATCCCAAGTCATGGCAGGGGAGGTAAGGGGGACCCCTGACGTCAGCAGGGGGAGCCTGTGGGGGCCCAGTCAGCAGGGGTAGCCTGTGGGGTCCACCCGCGAGCCTAGGACAGACACGATCCCTAGTCCGGGCAAAGGCTGCACGGGAGCGCCTAATTGAATGGAGGCGGGCACAGTAACAGAGGATGAGATGTGGTATTTTTGTTGCTAGACAATTCAGACTTCCAGCAGAGGTGTTCTTTTATATCAAGACCAATATTTAAAGGAATTCTCGCCAACAGCCATCACGGTGAAACTTAATGGGTTCTTTTTGACATGGAGATTAGACTAGATGATGTAATGCTTTCTTCTGGCCTTATTCTTTGAAAATATGACACCATACTTCACAGAGCAATGCAGTTAGACAGACTTGGTTATGGATTATTAATCAAAAGGGACAATGCATTCTCAGTGGCAAGACCCCAAGTGTGAAAGAAAAAACAGAATTCAAATCTGATAACATTCAGACTCCAATATAAAATATATCACTTTGCTAAGGAGCTTACCCAGGAGTGACAATTTAAAAAAAATCTGCATATACCAAGTCACAGAACCTAATAGGGAATGAAGAAAAACAACTTTTCATTGCAAGTTTTTATGTCCCCTAATTTTGGGTGGTGCACTGTAATAGTCATCCACCAATTACCGTGTCTAAATAAAATACAGAGTCCTATGTATAGAAGCAGATTCTCTCTGCATGTGTCAGTGTTTGAGATAAAGAAAAAGAAACAAGAACTAAACCTATCTATGTTGCTAAAACAGAAAATTCATGGGTGACAGATGCTTTCCTTCATCATACTATGATCAAACACAACCCCTTTGAATGCTTGGATACAAGCTCATAACTGCCTGTCATGCAGAAATTTATTAACAATCTTAACAATCTGTCCAAAACATTTCTAGTCTCAGGATCAAGTTTTGACAGAATTTGAAGAGAAGGTAGAGATCAGATTTTAGGCTTCATTGTAAGATTATCTTTTAATTGGGGACATATGTTCTTCTTTTCTGCCCAAAATATTTGAGAGGACAACAATATTACCATATAAACCATAGATGAAAATACCATGGTGATTCCAGAATAGAAACCTGCAAATTAACATCTAAAGAGAATACTGATCAAAAGGGATATTAAATGGGAAATTGGATTATAAGGATTAAGAAACTGTCAAAAGCTCTGACTTGTCAATCATACATCCACTTTTCAAATCCCTTGTTTGTTACGTTTTGTACATAGGGTTTTTTTTTTTAAATTTCATATATATAATGCAGCAAAAAACAGTAATATTAGCATCCTTTTCTAACAGTTTATCTGTAATGGGGCAGTGTAACAGGTTGCCCTTCATGTGCCATCTTCCTAGTAATCCGCGCTGTGCATGGGGCCCCCTCAGAGCCTTCTTTGGGGTTCTTATGTCCCGCCCTATACTCGCCTGCCACGCCTTGATGGAAATTATTACAATGTTCTTGCGAGTGGGAGGCTGCCTATTGTATTGTGTATGTTGGGGCCTTTCCCCTATATGGGCCTGACCCCTGTTTTTCTCTAGCTAGGCCTCCCTGTCCAAACCCACTAAACAGGGTTTGACTCCGAGGCTCTAGCCTTTTCCGTTGTCTTGAGGCTTGTGGCCCCTTTTTCTGTTCCAATCTGAAGCCTGGCCCTCCTGGGCCCAGAGTCCTGGGCACTGGCCCCACAGCCAGGGGGCCGCAAGTTCGATACCAGGGGACGACCCTGACCTTGCACACTCTCAGTCCAAAAAAACCCAAAATAAGACTGCACCACAGGCGCACCAGACCTCCCTGGCCTTTTTAAGATCGCGCCCTCACTGACACTGGGGCCTGTGCCCCCAAAAGCCGCGCCCTCGCTGGTGCCAGGGTCCCCGCTCCATAGTGGATCCACCCAAAATGAGGCCTCCTCCTTCCCCTAATAGCCTCACCCAAACTGCCAGTCTTATTCATTATTCAAAAAGAAAAAAAAAAAAAAGTCCCGTCCATGGGTAATAACTGCCCCCAGCTAATGTGAAAAAGAAAAAAAAAAATCATGTCCGCTTACATTCACAGGGTCCATGCTTCGGCTCCCCACCGTCAGCTCACGTCCTTGCTGTGACATGGTTGCCTGCCTCTCTGGGGCTTCCCTCTTCCCGCCTTTGGGCTGCTCCTTCATGGAGCTATCTGAGGCACTCCTTTCCCTTTGGTGGCTACCCCCCTAACTGCCTCTCGGCCCAGGGTTTTTATAGTCCTGCCCCTTCCAGTCAGCTGACTAGCTGGCCAGGCTCAGCCTTTAACCCCTTCTTTTCCAGCCCTCCGTGCCCAGAAAGTTCTGGTTTTAAAGGGGCGGACATGCCTTCTGGTAACAGGGCTAGGGTCCCCTGTTACAGGCAGAAAACATAGATTTTGTTAAATTTCCCACAATTATAAAATACAGTGCATCTCTCATGAAACTCTCTCATCAATTGTGCAAAAATTTGTTAGCAACATAGTACAGTGTGTGCGCGCACACACACACAACAGTTACTCCCCCAACTCCATGTGCAGCCAAATGACTGCCTGCCATCTAGCCCCACCCTGAAGCTCCCTGTGCATGAAAAACTCTGCAGCAGGGTAGTATTTGTATTTTACAAGACTACCCTCCTGCAGAGTTTATTAGTTTCATGCGTGCTAAAAAAGGCACATGTATAGATGCTGAGATTATTTACTGCACAGTTAATTAGACAACTGCACAGTAAACAACTCATGTAGATGTACCAACAGAGTACACACACACACACACAGAACAAAATACCTGCATATTGAGAGGCTTCTGGGCAAAGTTAGCTCAACAGAATCAAGTTGTTACAATAAGTAAGTACATTCACAAACTTCAGATGTAGGGATCTGAAGGTCAGAAAGGAACTTTCATATAAACAGAGGCCATATATCATGAGTGAAGTCCGTCATGACATTGATATACAAAAGGGAGAAGGTGAATAAAAACATTGGACCAAATTCTGTGACTACTCATTTTCAAACCACGTCTGAATATACAGTTGATGCTGCAGTATGCATTTATATTGTGGGTACCAGTAACCTCTTAATGCTGAATATTTCTGTTAGGAGGGGAGACAACCTGTGTTAGCTAAAAGAGATACAATCTACAGATGCAACACAGGAAGGCCTGGAAAGAGAAAGTGTTGTGCATCAAACACTGAACAGTATATTTACTAATAGTGAAGGGTGAGCAGTGGTGACAGATGGAAACAGTAAACTTCTATGGATTAAAATAAAACATAAAAAAGCAGGGGCATAAGAAATAAACCAGAAGATTGGTACTACCAAGAAAAGTAACTATACCGAATTAGTAGGTGGAAGTTCACTTCTGAAAATAATCTTTATGAGCCACAGAAGTCAGGAGAAATAAGAGTGGACTGGGAAAAGCTGATGAAATTGGAAGCACCCAATGCTGCTCTTATTCATGCAGGTATTAGACTGGCTCAATTCCACTGACTCAAAAGGAAAGACATGCATTATCTTGTTTATTCAGGACCACTCAAATTTACTAATAGCTGAGGCACAAAATGGTGATCTTAACACTGGGGACAACTCTCAGGACATCTGTTAATGAACAGCTTGCTACCATGGGAAATGCTAAAGGCAATTAGCATCTTTTGGTTACTGCTAAAGCATGATTAGTGGAATGAACAAGAGAGTCAATTTTAAAATCAGTACCTGTAGCTGAGTTACTGTTTTGCTTGGGAATACAAAACTCTCTTACCTCAAACCTCTCTTGCTCTATCCTATGATGATCATCCAGCTGTTGCTCCAGATAAGTCAGGTTACGGAATTTTTCTAGGTAACTGCTGTACTGTTTCTGCAGTTCCTCCTCAATCTTCTCATATTCATCCATGAAAGCTGGGCTGGAGAGATCAGGGACAACAACATGGAAAATCAAATCTATTTGTTGCTGCAGAACTCTGAAACATGTACTTCCATGCCACTACATTTTTATTAGTCTAGTCCAAAGCACTGCTTTCCACTGTAAAGGCTCTACTCTGTTTTAAAGACACTGGGGCTAAAAGTAGACAACCAGTTTAATGTGGGCCTGATTAGGCTGAGACATGAGTCCCCACCTCACCTCACAGACCCTTGCTGCATTGCACGAGCGTCCCCTGCTGCACCATACAGACCTCTGACCTGTTGTGTAAACCCCCCTTGTTATACCACGTAGCCCCCCAATGAACTGGGTGAGCCTCCCCAATGCCATGTGGAATCCCCAGATCCCTTAAAGCAGGGGTTGGCAATGGTTTTGGGTAGAGTGCCAAAAACACCTGGAACCTCGACTTGTAAGATGTTGTCATGCCACGGGCAGACAGTGGGGCAGACGTGAGGGGCCTGATCCTTGTTGTGGCAGCACAGCCCTGGCCCCTTCCCCGAGGCATGAGTGCCAAGCAAAATGCCTTCACGTGCCTCACTCTGGCACACGTGTGAGGAGTTTCCCAGCCCTGCCTTAAAGGCCTGTGATCACCAAATCCCTCAGCCCCACTAGTTGTGGCACTCCGTCACCAAGGGAAGGTGACAGGCAGCAGAAGCTGGAGAAAGGATGGGAAACCTGGGGACTCTAGCAGCAGCAGTTAAAAGCAAATGGGGAGTGGCACCCTGACCAGGAGCTCCACAGGCCACCAGTTGGCATGCTTCACACTTCATTGTACCGGATATTAAGAATATAGGTTATAAACACCTATTCTTATTCTGCCATGAATTATCAGTACAGTCTTTACCGGACACTCTGTAGGGTCTGAAGTCGCTTCTGGTTTCTTTCCAGTTCCAATTTTCTTTTTTCTATCTTGACTTCCAAATTGGCTTCATCCAAAGCCACATTGTTTAACATGTCTTTAGTCTTCTGGACTTGTTCCTGAAAGGAAGAAAGAAAGAATTAGTGGATGAGATGTAACTTGCTATGTTGTAAGCTGAATTATCTTTCTGACTCTGGACCTGATTCTGCACCTTGATTCACTACAAAGTCTTGTAACTAAAACCCAAGGCTGCTGCATATTACAGTCTTGGTACAAACATCATGTACTTAGTAATTCACCGTGGTTCTCAATGACAGCATTAAAAAGGTCATTACTTGTTTTTCAAATCAAACCTCTAGCAGCACTTCAGAGACAATCCTGCTCTCCCATAACAGCTAGTTTGCCTGTTTTTCTCTTTCTATATTTTAGGATTAGTTACAGACTACAGTCTTATTCTGCACTGCTGAGCACTTATACTGCAACTTTTTCTTATTCAGATGCAAAGTGTTGTAACCAAAGATGTCCCTGATTTATGCATTTTACCCACAGTATTTACTTCACTATAAGACAACTTTCCTATGATTAGATTCTATGTATGAAATAATTATAAATTTGTTATAATTTTCCAGGTCTAGAATCCAACTATTGGAGGTTTACCTTGAATTTGTCCCCCTCCCCCTGCTACATTTGGGAAAATATATCTGCAGTATCAGGTAGCCCCCTTACCTTCTGCCCCCTACAACTTCCTTCCCCTGTAGCCCACTCCCCACCTCCTTACTGGCAGACCCTGCTCTCCCTGAGCACATGAAAGTGGGGGCAAATTTGAAAACACCTTGAAATAAATATGCCTGCAGTAATTTGCATAGGTAAATTACCCATAGACTTAGTTCATCCAGAATTGATTTACCTTTCTTGAAAATGCTGTAAACTTTAGCACAAATACTCCATAAACACACTTTTATACAGCACTTTCGTATCCACTTATGTATAGTAGAAACTATACATGAATTGCAGTGAAGGCAAATAAGCATGAGATGGAAAAAAAGTTGAAGAACAGAAATGAAAGTCTGGAGACAGATGGAGAGTGGACAAAGGTGGAGAATAAAGGAAGAAAGAAGGTGCCAGGAGGAGCAACAGCAGAGGCAGCAATGATGAGAGTGATGATGCCAGGAGGAAGAGAGGAGCAGAGGAGAGTGGGAGACAGAGTGGGAGCAGCAGGAGAAGGTACATCGAGTGAGCAGCAGAGGACAGCAGGAACACAACAGCAAGTCAGCCCACAGGGAGTGGTGTGGCAGGAACACAAGGAAGAGGCACTGAGAACAACTAGAGAGGAGCGGAGTTTGCAGATAAAGGCAACTTTAACTGGCAAAGGGACTGACAATGGGGAGGCAGACAGGATCAACAATGAACAGATATGATTTCCTAGAAAAGGCACTGTTTGAGATTTTGGAGGTGCAGGTGGAGTATCTCACCAGCCCGATTCCTATCGTGAACCAAAAGACTTGGGAATTGACTTACTGGGATGGAAAAGGGTATGAGAACCTTCGGAAGAAATCTGCAGAGAAATGTGGGAAGGAGGAATTAAAAGGGATAAAACTCATAACAGAGAAAAGTCAAGAGAAAGCATGATTATAGTTTGAATGTACATGGATTTGTTAGAAGCAGAAGACAGAAAGATGGATGGAAAAGTATGTCCAAAGGGCCATGTTCGTAGAGAAAGTAAGAATAAAGATGGTATCTGAATGGGGTCTGGGAGGGAACAACTAGTGTTACAAGTGGATGAGTGAAGCCCAGATGGGGTGCTGATCAGTGATCCAGATCAGGGCACACTGGGTTTTTTTAATGTACCACAGGCAACCAAAATGGTGCAGCAAATGCAAAAAGGTGGGGCACCTGTCTGCACACTATCCCCTCACAGTGTGCTACAGATGTGAAGGGCACAGAGCAGCAGAGTAGCAGGAGTCCCTAAAATGCACAATTTTAAGGGAGAGGGACACTTGTATCCATAAGTGCCACAAAGCCTTTGCAAGTATAGTCAGACCCGCTAAGGAACACCAAAACCAGGTACAGGAGAGGAGGGGTTGGACACTAAGATAGAACTGGTAGAAGAAACCCCCCAGGAGGGTAAAACAGAGGAGGGGGGCAAAATTTCTGTGACTGAGGTAGTACAGCAAGAGATGAGAGACAGACTGGAAGGGAAGGTGGGAATAGCAAACAGCTCACAGATGGGGGGGGAGGGGGGAGGGGGAAGAAAGAAAGAACGCCCTCTACAGACAACAGAAGTGGAGATGGAGCAAGAAAAAGAACCAAAGAGACAGGCTGGGAAAAGAAAGAAAACGCAGGGGGCTGAAGACCAGGAAGAAGAAACCTGATAATGAAGGAGGTGAGTCAGAGGAAGAGCCACTGACACCTCTGGGCTCCAATCCAGAGTGGAGACCAGAAGGTGGGAAGCAGTGGGGGGCAGGAATATGCAAGCCTTCCTAAATGCAAAACTGATCTGGCAGCTTACAAAGGTTATAGGAATGTGAGTGAGGGAAGGAGAGGGGTTGACCACTCTGAGCAGTAGCACAGACAGATCGTAAAAGGACAGGCACGCTCAGCAGAAAGCAAGCACAGCAAACCTTAAAGGGACAGGAGTGCTCATTTTAAAACAAGCACAAATGGCATTGACAATAGTTTTGCTTACCATCAGGAGTATCTTAACAAGGAAAAGATGGAAACAGATTGAACCAGTGTTGTACCAAGTAAGGACAGACATAATCTGCCTATAAGAAGACTGTGGTATACCGGGGAGAGGGATTTTAAACATTTTGAGAAAAAATGAAGATGGGGACCATCTTGTGGTCAGGGACAAATGAGAACAAGGTGGCAGGGGTAGCAATATTATTCAAGAACCCAAAGCTGAGGGCAAAGGAGGTAGAAGTCAGCAGCGGCAGATTGCAGTGAACAATACTATCAGTCAGGGGAACGCAATTAGAAATTTTCAATATATATGCACCACCAGAGAGTGAGGAAAGGAATGTATTCTACATAGGCACATGAAGATTGTGCATAATAGCAGGAGATTTCAATTATATAATCAAAGTGGGTGACCAAACAGGGGAAGGAGGAAAGAGCTTTAGACAGCTCATCCAGACTGTTGACAAATATAACTAAAGAAGAGTTGCTAAGAGATGTGTGGGCAGGGGAGAAAGTTCTCACTAAAACAGACCCTAGTAGAAAGAAACAATCAAGAATTGACTTTGTGCCTGTATTAAAAGAAGTAGAAATAAAGAAGAAAAAAACCATACATGTGGTTTTTAGTGATCACCAGATGCTGAAGGTGGAAATGAGTCTTGGTAAGAGCCCCATGAGAGGGAAGAGACTGTGGAAGTTAAATATACAGATGTTACAAGTCAAAGAGATATGTCTGTCACAACCCAAAGTTGTGGGTTTTTTTGTTTCTGTGTGCTTCGGCATCGCTAAATTGTGTTCCAGCTAAATTGCAGCTCTCTTGCACGGTGGAGCGTTCTGTTACAATTAAGAACCCGCATGCAGGAGCTTTTCCTGCCAGTTCTGTACCCTTCTTTGCATCTGTAGCCTTCTTTGCGGGTCAGGAACCGAGTCTATTAGAGTCCTCCACCGAGAACTCAAGCGGAGCTGTGCCTGAAAAGCTGACCAGCCTACACCGTGACCACCTTGGGTGTAAATAAATAATCTTTTCAATCAACCATTATGCCTCCGTGACTGAGTCTAGCTCGAGCGTACCATACCGCGCCACGGTTTTCTCTGGCCCCGCGTGCCCGGGTTGCTGGCCACAGCATGTGTGCACAAAGACGGACCCGGCTCGCCCCCGAGATCAGGAGCCGGCCCGCACAATGTCAAGCATACACGCGACAGTATGAAGGGTGGCAAACACTGAAGAAATATTTCAGGAGTACCAGAGAACAGTGAATGGTAATAAAAAGGAGGACAGGAGAATTCTTCAGGAAGGAAGGCTGAAGATGTGAGGGGAAAAGAACAGAATTGCTAAGAGAGCTGAAAAGAAAGATGCAGGAGCTGCTAAAGGAAGCTACAGAAGGAAGACAGGTATCAGAAGAGCTAGAAGAAACAAGGCAAGAGTTAGAAACCTGGTTTAAAAGAAAGATGAGAGAGAAAATGTTCTTAGCACAAGCACCCTTCATGGGAGAAAATGAAGAGTGGTTCCAATATTTTTTGGCCAGAAGATGGCAAAAGGACAGCTTAAATCAGTGAGGGAAGAAGTTGGTGCCTGGGTGGAAACACAGGAAGAGGTATTGGAGGCAATAAGAAGATTTTATGAACAGCTACAACAGAAGAAGAAAACAGACAGGAAGAAGATGAAGGATTTCTTGGAAAAGACTGAAGAGAAAGTAGAGGAGGTGGACTTTTGACTTTTTAACTACTTTATTTCACAAAAGATCAGGTACAAAAAGCAAAAAACCATCAAACCACACCAAAGAGAAACCATTCCAGGACATTCAGAACATCACACCATGACAAACACCTTCGCAGTAGTACACATCATGTCTAACATGCCATGTAGCCCTCTAGAACTGAACAGTTCCACCTTTCCCTGTCCCATAGAACACGTGCAAAAACCTTCAGCATCTCACCCCGAGAAAAACAAAAGCAGCCTGGTGAGGGCCCAGGGCACGGCACAAGCTGGAAGCCACAGTCCGCCC